TAACAGAACCGCGGTGCGACAGGGTTCTGGCCTCACATCAACCCAACATCCACTTTGGACAACTAGTGTGGCTGAGCTGGGCCTGTGGAACTGTGGAACTGTGGCCGTAAACACGTGCAAACTCTTGGACTGATTTATGAAGGCTTGAATGTGCTTACATCTGCAGCTCTTCGTTTTTTGGTTGTTTTTTTACATGTTTGACCTTTATTTAACCTGGAAGTCTCTGGAGAAGTTTTCCTGAGGAGTTTCTCAAAGCTTCTACATTTTTGGGAAATATCACAGCAAGGACTTCAAAACCGAACAAACCACAAAGACCGTCTTATTGTTCTGTGCCAAAAGGAGACGTCCTTGTCTGCTGAGACAGAACCGCATCTTTGTCCCCCATTTTATTTATCTCCTACTTCCTGCAACAATGAAAAAAAAGGGAAAATCTGGAAGACGAAGTCTGAGGTTCAGACTTCCTTACAGATCAGGACCACAGGGAAACCGAGAAGGAAATGTGCGGAGCCTACACCAGCCAGTTTACAGTAAGAACAGCGTGTTTATACGTTCCACCTCTGTGTTCTTTTAGGCTGCCATATGTTTGTTTAATGAACCGATATCATGTTCTGTTTGCTTTTTCTACATTCAAAACCGTTTTGAGTGCCACTCTTCTCGTTCCTCTACTTTTATTTTCTTTTGTTCAAGTTGTTACAGCTGTCGAATAGTTGTTCCGAGGCCTGATGTTTTCTGTCACTGTACGTTTACTGTGTTGATCCTCTGAATCTGAAGTGACTTGCGTAAAAAAAACAATATAGTATTAAAGCACAATCAAACTGACAGAAAAGTCGTTTTTATACTTTATTAATATCAACACTATTTGTCAAGCTGTGCCAGTACATTAAAATAAACTAAAATTACAGGGTGCTTGACTTAGGTCAGGGTTCATTTCCAAGTGACAACGTAACTCGGATTTCCACCTTACGTACTTCGGAACTTACAATAACATATAACATATCACAAAATCAGGGTTAAATTTGAGGCGGAAACTGTTCAGCGTCGAAAGAAAGTCGCCTTAACCATCCATTTTCTGTGTTTCAAGACCTCCCACAAAATATGTAGGAAAACGGAACCTGCAGCTAACAGCAGTGGAGACCACGTGGAAAGCGTGCTGTTGGATTCTTCATTTTCCTTCATTGTTGCTCTGACAAAACCTGGAACGTCTTCATCTTCTCCTACTTCATCTTGCATCCATCCATCCATTTTCATCCGCTTATCCGTTACCAGGTCACCTGCAGGTGGTGAGTCCACTGGAAGGTACCAACCACCCTAACCTGGATTCGAACTTGCCCAGGAGGTGAACCTTGGGGTTCCACACCAATGACAGAGACATTGCCCCTGGGCCGAAGTGCCACTCTACTTCGTCTTTTAAATATAAAATCACATTCAAGGCTAGTCAAACTTGACCCTCCCAATCTTCCTGGCCTCCTCCATGATGCCACCACCTCCTCTAATTTCATTTCTTCTTCTACGTCCACTCGATTGCCACCCTCTGTCGGTCTCACCACACTGAGGAGCAGAGATTTCAGCCACTGTGCTCCCTGATTCTGGAGCTCACCAACACCAGGAACATCATGTCACTGTCACACTTCAAATCTAATCTCAAAACCCATCTCTTTAGGCTCCTTCTCTCTCTCTCTCTCCCTCCCTCCCTCTCTCTCTGTGATCACAGTTACACTGTGTATCTCTTAAGTGTCCCTTTGTTGTTTTTTTTAATGTAGCTTTGTTTACACTATTGAGCAGTGATCCAAATCCGGCCTGCCGGACCGCCCAATCCAGCCTCCAACTGGATTCAGAATTAAACATCAAATAATAATGTTATAATAATAGTATGAAAATGTGATTCTTTTCCTTCTGTCTGCGTTTGTCTCCTCAGGAGACGTCCAACCATTTCTGCCTTGTTTCACTGACTAATTGGCCAATAGTGGTTGTAGCTGAACTACTTCTATCAAAAAAAAAGAGAAAAAAATACAATAAACAATGTCTCCTTTGACATAGTTTGTGTTGTTAAATAAGCAGGTATTTCACCACCGACGGCAACTACGACAATAGAATCCTGCACTGGCCCAGACGAATTCTCGCACTTTTTAGTCTTGACCAATCTCTCTCTCTCTCCCTCTCTCACTAGCTCTCATAAACTCTGCCAGATGTTGCCCCTTTTTTTTCCTCCTGGGGGAATTACAGGAAGATGGGGGTGGGAGAGTAGGGGTGTAGGAGGTGATAGAGAAGGTACGATACGAAAGTAGAACAAAAAATAAGGAGGAAGCGGAGGAGGAGGAGTGTGGCGCAGACTCAGAAATGTGGCCCATCATGTTTTGGAGCCGTGTCTGACGCACTTAGCACCTGTCCGGCATCAGCCACAGTAACATTAGCCGCGAGAAGAACTGAGAGCATGTTTTACACACACCATGAAGATGTGCCACATGGGTTTCATCTCTGAAAACAAAAATTGTTTAAAAACTACTACTATTTTTGTCTAACGTTTGTCTAGTTTAATTTCTTTGAATTTTTTGAAACATTAATATGACTTTGGGCTATATTTCCTAATAGTTTTACTTTTATCTGCCCTGTTGTTTTAATGTCTTAAGACTTTTTAACACTAAAATTTCACAATTTTGTTTTAATTTATTGTTTACATTTTACCTCCTTTTTTGCAATTATTTTAACTGTATTTAAACAACATCAGTTCTTTGTTTATTTAACTTCTAATCCTACATTTACTATGATTGCGTTGCCTGTAACAGACATTTATAAACAAATGAGTCTTACATACGTTGAAAAATATTTTAAAAAATATGAGTGCAGAGGAAACCTGCTTAGGAATCCTCCATCCTCCCAGTTATTTAAATAGTGACTTAATATATTTCACATGTACTTCAAGGTAGTTTCACAAAGTTCTCGCCTTCATCTTGCTTTACCTTTTATGTTTTGGCATTTTCTTGGTACAACCAAGGAATTAAATTATCACAAAATTACAACAAAAAAAAAAAAACACGAATCGAATTAGTTAATCAACGAGTATCTATGTAAAAAAAAAATGATGCAGATACATCAACAATGTGTTGAGAGACTGAAGGTGAAATAACATGAGGAGTTTCTGTAAAACATAAAAAGTGCTGACCTGGGCTTTTCTTCATTCTGGCCACATTCCATTCCGACTGAACTGCATGCCACTCATCCACTTCTAATGTTTACTGTTATTCTATCTCCATTTCCTCAATCCAGGTGTAACTGGATACAACACTTCACTATTCAATCGCAGCAATTTGAAGCAAGATTTTTTTTTTCTGGTGCTGCATGATATCAAACGTATTTTGTCGTATGAAATATTTCCCAAACGAATCACCTCAACAATCTCCTGCATGCATGCATATATGTGCAGCTGATGGGACAAACGTTGATTTTCTGTAGGCAGTAACTGGATCTGCAGCCTTCCAAATCTTCTTTGTGCTACTACGGATGAAGTAACGGCCTTCTTCCAAATCTTCTCTGTGCTACTACGGATGAAGTAACGGCCTTGAGTGTTTTATATGTTTATTTAAGGTAATAAAGATGCTTTTGTTGCAGGCTTTTCAACATTCAATTCTTTTCTCCTTCTGTCTCTGCTTGTCTACAGCTTTAGGTTCGCTCCAGCACTGTAACCTGCATAGATGTTTTGGGATGTGAGATTGAGCTTTGCTGCAGGAAAACAAGTTGAAAACAGGTTAGGGTTATTACATGGAAAGTATGAAAGACAAATCTTAGATTTTTATTTTTATTTATTTTTATGTTTGTTTCTACATTTCTCACTTGTAAAAAATGTAAATAAATTGTGATATTAACAAATTAAAAGATGCTAAAAAATGAGGTCATGTCTTTCGTACATCTAGATCTAAGGCTATTGTAACTTTGCTATCAGGTTGTCTTTAAACAGCTGTTCAAAGACTTCGTCTTATCCAAACTGCTGCAGCAGAGACCACATCACTCCAGTCCTGCGTGGGTTCTCTTCACTGTCTAGCTGTAAAATCTAGGATAAACTCTAAAATTCTCCTCCTCTCATATTAAGCTTTTCATAACCAGGTGCCATCATATATTGTATCTTTAATAAGACCCTACTAACCTAACAGATCACTTCACTCTAAAAACACAGGCCACCCTACAGTCCTCCAGAGCGAATAAGAGTAGAGGGAGGCAGAGCGTTCAGCTCTACTACTCTTCTAAAAAACAAATAAATTATTGTCATTACAGTAACTCTGTCTCCTTTTTCTCCACTAGTTTGTCTCCGTCTTCTCTCTCCTTGTCACTGTCTTCACCTCACAGGTTCCTGTGACTCCAGAACTACAGGACCTGATCCAGACCTGACGGTGATGTCATTATTTATATTGTTATTTATAACTAATTAAATCTAATTCAGCAGAACTACCTTAACATCTGCCATCTAACTGTACATATTGCACTTTAACTGTATATTAGACTGTACTTTATATATTTTAGTGTTGTATGTCGGCTCTTGCTCTCTCTTCCGTCCCTCGACCTCTTCTTTCCCCTTTCTCTCTTTGCTGAGGCAGACGACAACACTGAGTCTGGATCTGTTGGAGATTTTGTCCAGTTAGAAAGGAGTTTTACTTCTTGTTTCTTTTTTTTTCTTTTTACATTTTTACAACGATGCCAATACTGTCTGTGAAAATTTGATTTGGTTTATTTGAATAATATTATAAAATATACGGCTGTACTTTGTATTTATAATATAAACTCATTCATATTAAACATTAACTATTTATATTATTTATATAGCTTATAAGTTGTATATATATTTAATACATAGTCATTGTTTTTAGTAGGTCAAAATACTTTTTAAAATTTAGAACCGTACAGTCCATTGAGACGCGTGTGTTTTGTGAAAATAATTTTTGATTTGTTGAGCCCCAGCCTGGTTTCTTCCTCCTCAAATTCCATCCTTCTCCGATGCTGGTGACTGGCAGCAGAAGTAGAAAAAAAAAACAGTAGAAGAAGACGGAGAAGGAGGAGGATTGGATGAGAACCGTGAACGCGCATGCGCCACAGGAGAGTTTTGCGGCTCTGCATCCAGGCAGCAGCTGCAGTTTGAGAGAGGAGGCGACAGGAGCAGGTGAGAAAAAGGAGAAACAGGGGAAGAAAACAACAGGAGGAAAACTTTGAAGCACTTCTAACTCGGACACGGAGCCGCTGGTCTCGTGTCTTCTGCTAAGACTTCGTGTGTTTAGAGACGCCAAGGTTCTGGAAAAGACGCAGGAAGTTTCCTGCTCGAGCATACTGCCTGAAGCCGACTCACTTTTTAAAAACACTTTACATCTTTTTCAAATATCTTTACGAACACCGTGGAAGATTTTTTCTTTTACAATATTTTTGGACTCTGAACTGCGAGGGTTTTGGGACGTATTTTCCGCAGAATGGAAATTAAATTAACAAGTCGTTTGTGGCGTGGACCAGCGCGTGGATTGTTGCTCAGGTAAAGACTCCACTAATAAAATCAAAACGAATCCAAACGCGCTATGACCTGAGGCGCGTCACAATCTGGATTAATAAAACATCTATTTGTGCTTTGGGTTGTGATCGGGATCAGCTTCACTTCCTCCAGAACTGTCAAATTATCTCAAGACGATACTAATTTGAAAGGAGAAGAAGAATACCATTGTTCTTTTTTTTTTCCAAAAAAAAAATAGTTTCCACAGACTTGTACACAGCAACTCCGAGGCTTCGAAGAAACTCAAATCGCTGACGAACTGTCAGTTTGGACTTTTCCTGCTCCAGTCATACACCTTAAGGACAAAGAGCATTAAAGACTTTAAGGACTTTAACGAGTTCTGTAGGGACTTTAATAAAGCACTTTCCAAGAGATAGAACCTTCCGAGAGGAGGGGGGAAACTCAATCCACCTGACCTGCACTGGGATTATCAGTTTGGTATCATCTGCAACATAAAGTGGATTACACCTTCTAACAGACCGCAGTTTGATCCTAGGTGAGTAAAACCCAAAGTCAAATCCTGTTAGTTTCTCATTAGACTGTCGCTCAACATGTGGATTTGTTCCACTTCTTGGATAGGGATAAGAAAAAAAAAACAGTTCTTGGCAGATGTGATGTGTGAAACATGCCTCCCTAACATTCCTCCTCCTCACCGTCCTGTGGGTATTCTGTCACCTGCATTGAATAAGTCGTCTTAAAAGTAATGAATTCCACGCACGACCGTGCGTAAAAGTAAGAGAAGTTTCAAATCCCCAGTCTCCAGTTTCTGCCGTTACCTGGTTCTGTTTAAAACCAGTGGAACCTCTTTGTGCTGCCTCTCCTCCAAATCCTTGTACCTGGCTCCCTCTCCTGGTTTTTGCAACACCACTGGCTCTGACCATTGTTTCTGTGTCAGAGCCAAGAACATGTCACTCATTTCAACGGTAAAGCGTGGTCTTTAGAAAACACCTCAGCATTAAGAAAAAAAAGATTATTTTTAATTCCATTAACTAAGTTCGTATGTGCTCAAACGTACATCTTTTAATGTGCAGAAAAAAGCCACTTTACATGGTGCTACTTTTGTTCTGCACCCACCAGTTCATTTCACAGTAATCCTGTCCTGTTTTCTTGTAGTGATATTTTATTTTATTTAAGTGCTGATGAAAAGCACAGTGAAAAGCCAATATGATCTCGAGATGCAGATTTATTTCAATCGTTAGTTACGGTGAACGTGTCCGCTATTATGTTTTAGTTCAACTGATTTACCGCAGTTTCTAGAAACGAACCTACATGTTGCGTTCTCAAATCTTTAACTTTAACATTTCTCAAAGTCGTTGCATTTCTAACAAAAAATAAAAATGTAAAAGTGCCATAACTTAAAACCAGTGACCTACTGTACGCCTTAGTTGGTTTCCGTAATCAGAAAGAAATAAGAAATAAATAAAAATCTCTATTTTATAATATATTTTTATTCTTTACAGTTTAAAGTTTTTTGTGCAGAGGAGAATTTTTACCCACAAAGAACGCCAGTTTCCTGGGGTTAAAGAAGTCAGGCGTTTACAGACTAAGGAGAAAAAGTCGAACGAGAGGAGGCATAAATAAGAATTGACAAAGATGCGCTTTTTAAAATCCTTGCGACCGAAATCCAGGATTTTCACATAGAAATGACCTGACAGGGAAACGTTAAAATATAAAATTAGAAAGAATTCAATGCAGACAGGGGAAATATCCTGAAAAAATGAGTGAGTGGTAACGACGAGAAACAGACCCTTAGAAACTGTGGTGTGATTTTAAGCTCGTGATTGCAAACGTACAGGATTCCGTACAATTGTGTATTATGTCAGGAGTTGAATTCGTACACGTGGAAATATTTATCTTAGCAGAATGTTCCCGTGCTTTGATTGGATGAAGCCGACTAGATGTGAGCGGTACGCACCTGTACGTGTCAGTTAATGTTTCACAAACACGCAATTATCAGCTGAATTTTCATATTTTAGCGCCGAATAAAATTCATGTATAGTTAATAAAAAATATGCGGTGAATAAAAGTGTGTTTTTTATGCTTAACTAACTAACTAAGCAACTGCGGTTAGTCAGCTTTAGCTTTATGTATTTGCCGGAAATTGTGTACGTGTACGTGTCTGTGTGAATGTGCGCGCGCGCGCACGCACGCATGGGCTTCCTCGTACACGACGGTGAACTTGGCCTGCTCTTTAATGAATACTTTTAGGCCCCCATTCCCACGCACGCAGAACCAGAACCTGGAAATATTAACGCTGTGTGACAGATGACACCCTTTGTAATACACGCGGCCGTACAGGCACAGACGTACCTATTCCTACCTATACCTTTTTTTCAAACTGGTTTTCTGGCAGCAATGTAGCGCAATGTGTCTGCACGTTTTCAGCATTTTAATTCACCGTAAAGTTTTAGTCAAACTGCACGGAAGTGAAAAGGTCACGAAAATGTAAACACTTTTGTCAAGTTTTTTACACATTATAAACTTTTAGAAAAATACATTTATTTTAAAGAGTAAGATCTGACGCCTGAGGGATTTTTTTAAAAAATAAATCACGTTAGGATGTTTTCAATTAGGCGCATTAAAAACATTTCTGTGGCCGTTTTGTTTTTATTTCACAACCCTGTTTGAGAGGGTTTTTTTATTTTGCAAAATTACCGAAATTCAATCTGTCTCCAGAGTGTTGCTGAAATCCCACAAAAATCTAATTTTCGTGTTTTTTATATTTCACCTCATCGTGTTACAGAAACGTCGTCAGATTTGCGTTATAAGGCAAATTAATTTAAGTTTGAAACCAAGGTTTAGATTAGAGATGGGAAAATGTTTTTGTTGTAAATGCTAAACAGGATGTATATTTAAAATGCACACGTGTGTCACGTGATTATTTTTCCCTCTTTTGAAATGATTCACACTCAGACTCGCTGCCAAACGCTGCGCTGTGCACGCTCTAGTGCCACTTGTTTCACACGCACGCGCACACATCAACCTTACTATTCCACTTCAGTGGTGGTCCAAAACAGAGGTGTCCAAAGAGGCCGGGCCCAGACAGCACCAAAGACTGCTCTTCCTGAAGAATATAATTAAATTCATTTTCAATCCAGTGAATTTAAACACGTTCATTTCACGCTAAGTCTTGCATGTTAAATCCTAATGCAAGACTCACCGATTTGGACAGAATTCTACAAAACATTTCAGACATTCTAGTAGAATTGTGCTGCAAGTTAGTTTAGAAAGGTTTGCCCACGATGTAGTCAAAGCAATTCAATATTTACCTTGGATAATACAGTTAATCAGGGGAAATAATTTATTTTTAAAATTATTAACCATAAATGAAAAATGTACTTTCCACAAGAAAATGTAGTATTGTCTAAACTAAAAAATGTTTTAAGCTTTTTCTTAATAATATAAAAATATTCAATAGTATTAATGAAAATGCAAAAGTAGATTAAAAAACATTAAATCAAGTCCCAACATTAAAATGATTAAATATTTAAATTATATATTTTCATGTGCCTAATGTGACATAGTTGGAAAAAAATAGGATTTTCAAATATTGTGTCTTTAAAATGTAAAATTCAAAATTTTCATAAAATGTTTTTTGTCCTTCTCAAACTAGTGACAGTTAGACAGTCAAATCTGCCTTGGCTCAAAGGCTACAGGGCATCGCCTTCCATCTGGAGAGTCAGGGCTTCAGCTACTGACTCCGCTGCTTTGCGTGACATCATGAAGGGCCAAAACAATAATAATGGGGGAAAAAAGCTGAATTTTCATAAGTATGATCCATCACTGGTTAAACCAGTGGCTGTTTTGCCACATTTATGGGGCAGGGTATAAACCTGTCTGTATTGAGTGGGCGAGCATTATTTCTTGTGTGTGTGAGCGAGCGAGTGTGGTACTGACACGGATCCTGTTTCATGTCCCTTTTCCCTCTCCTCCAGATATCATCAGCATGAACCTGGTCTCGGTGTGTACTCGTGGTCTGATCTCCTGCTGGCCTCATGGCAGCGTCCTGGACTCCAGAAACTGCGTCTTTGCGCTGACGCTGCTCACTCTGCTCATGCAGGTGGTGGTGGAGGCCAACTCCTGGTGGTAAGAACCTCCATATAACATTTACATTTACATCCAGACCAAAGAGTAAAAAAAAAAAACCTTTATGTCTGAAATTATAATCACTCACAATTTTATCAAGTGGCATTTGCTCTATATTAAAGTCACAATATTGTGATAAGGTTCTTTACAATCAGTCTAAAAGATAGCAATACCACTATTTGGCAGTATTTGTTTATTTTAATATAAAATACTTTTTAAATGAAATAAAAATGTTGAGGGTTTATTCTCATTTTTGATGATATGGTACAGTACATGAAACTGACAAATTGTTAAAAATCTTCAAATGCCTCCACACTTTACCTTTAAAGTTTTTTTTAATTTACAATTTATATTAAAGTTTAAATAAGATACCAAGTAGTGCAGCCAGTGACTGAGGTTTTAGGCACAGGTCTTGGTCCCGGGGTTCGAATCCCAGCCTGGGCTGCGGGCATTTTAATTTTTGTGGAACAGTGTCATTAGGTTGATGTATTGTTAAATACATGGATTAAAGTGGACAAATGTGGGTGTGATGGCAAAGAAAGTTGCTTCACTGACTCCCCCTAGTGGCTGTTCAAAACGAACCATTAAGACTGCACGTTGGTGAACTTCGCAGCCTTTTAATATCCAAATATTATTTATATCGGAGAGTAACCCATTTTGACAGTTTTATTCTGATTCAGTTTTTTTTTAGTTTCATACTCATTATTTTTGAATCTCAGAGTTTGTCCAGTCTGTTGATGAGAGCTGTTGTGTCATGTACGGCACCAGACTGAACAAACAAGTGTGTATGTGTCTCTGTGTGTGTGTGTGTGTGGCATTTTAAAGTATGTTTTTCCGCTGCAGTACAAATGCCACATGCACTTCCTGAACCTTTCAGGAAGCGTGTTTATATTTTGAACCTCTCTAATTTTATTTTATTTTCCCCCGCGTTATTGCCAAACCCAAAATTATGAATATTGTAGAAAACATGCCGCGCTCTGTGGTTTTTACCAGTCAGCGTCAAAAATGTGTGCAAACATGAGCACTTTTTTTTTTTTAATGTGTGTCAAAAGAAAAAGGGGAAAACACTGTTTATGAGTCCAAAACACAGATTTATTACACTTTGGCTCACAGCTCTTTAATATTTCTGCATGTTTATTTATTGTATTGTTCATGTGAAAACAGATTTTTATACGTCTCAATTTTTTTGGTGGATTTAAATCTCTCCAAAATGCTCAGATGAAAGTCACAAATATTCTAGTTTCTTCTGTACAAGTCTCTTTTTATAACTTCTTCACCTCAACCATAATAACATAATTCTAAAAAGTGATGCAATGCTTTTGTTTTTTTAATATAATTCACACTTTTACTTCACAGACCTTATTGGAAAATCTCAGTCTGTGTGTTTCAGTTTTCCTTACATGAGCACACACAGGTGTAAATGATTTAGTGGTCACTTTCTGTGTGTGCACGTTCATATTTTTTTTTCTTTCCTCTGACTCAGTGTGCATTCCCTCTCTGCTGCGGCGGCTGCTGCTGCTGCTGCAGAGTTTCCTCACTCGATCAGGTTTCACTAGGGGCTAATTGTCTGTCTCTCTGGGCTCAGGGATGAGCTCCTCTAATTGTCCTGTGGCCTGGACCAGATGCTCTGATGACTATTCTTCCTATTTTCTCTGCGTGTGCATGAATGATACAAATGTGTTTGTCTCACTTTTCTGTGTTTCATCTTCATTTCTGTGATGAAAAAATCCCCAGCTCACAGCCATCTGGTCCGCTGCAGAGTGTAAGGAAACATGAATCATCACAAATGTGTTCAGAGGCAGAACTACAAATGTAGTGGGAGCCTATTTAAAGTAACGGTCATGACTGTGGAGGCTGTTTGGACCTAAATTTGGTATACATTTATGATGAGTAGCAAAAGCATCTTCTAAATAGTAGGAATGGCTCGTTCCGATACTTAGGATCAGTATTGTGATAATATGGGTTAAATTTCAGAATCGGATACTGTACCTCTGATTAGTTCTCATTTTGTACACTATTATTAATGATTTTTTTTTCTTCTCCTTCCAGACAATATAAATGGTATTTTGCAGTAAAAAGATGCAACAAAATTAAACATTTGCCCAGTTAGAAGTACAGCATTCGAACTTGGAAGGTGGAAAACTACACCTTTTTACTGGCAGCAACGAGGCTCACAAATGTCAGTGAGTAGGTCAGCAGGTCCAGATTAGAGCCTGAAAGTCTGTGACATTGATAAAGTTAGCTACCACTGACAGACTCACTACTGTTCCAGGCTTAGTTGTTGTCCTTTCACCGTTTAACCCACTTACCCAGTTAATTCTGTTATTTTTTATTTGTATCCCCAGTGATTTTTATTCCTTGCCTTTTTTGTAAACTCTTCATATCGTGTTTCCAGCTTTGTGTCAGTGCAGCCTAAAATTGTGCAGAGTTCCACTTCGTCCAGTAACAAACTGCTTCTCATTTACCATCCAAAAACAGAAAAAGAATCAAGCCCATAAAAATCAGCTGTTGAAAGGGAATCAGGCCCAAAACCTTTCATTCTTTTTTTTTTTTTTGTTCCCCACCTTCTGCAAATTTAAACTGTTGTTTTATGTGTCTGACTCCTGCAGGTCTCTGGCCATGAACCCTCTACTGATCCCAGAGGCCTACATCATCGGCGCTCAGCCCCTGTGCAGCCAGCTGGTGGGTCTGTCCCAGGGCCAGAAGAAGCTGTGCCAACTCTACCAGGACCACATGCAGTACATCGGCGAGGGCGCTAAGACCGGCATCAGAGAGTGCCAGCACCAGTTCAGACACCGTCGCTGGAACTGCAGCACAGTGGACAACTCCTCCGTGTTTGGGCGAGTCATGCAAATTGGTAAGAAACAGACGAGAGTCACACAATGACCAAGGGGGAAAACTAAAGAAAGAACAAGCCAAAATCAGTGACAAAAACTTGGCATTTCAAACTACAATAAGAAAAAGTAAAACACAATTGCAGGTTCCACATTTAGAACCATTGCCCACAGTTAGAGATTAACAAGAGTGAAGCAAGTGAGATGTGTGTGTGTGGTGGTGATGGGCGATACCTGAATTTTGGATTCGATACGATACAAAGTACTTTTTAGGTCATTTTTTTCTATAGCGATACTTTGTTTGATTTTTTTTTTAACCCAATAAAACACATGACGATACTGGCCATTTAATACTTTAATATGTATTTTTCACAGCATTGTGTCGTTCTTGCACAGTGTAACCTAAATAGTTTAACTAATGCCACTAAAGATGAAGTCTAGTGGACTTGATCACACGGAGTCACTGCTCTCTTCTGGTCAGTGGTCACATGACACAGTTGTTGCAGCAGTAAAGCCTGTCTGTAGTAATTTATCTTAAAAGATGTGGACGTGACACACATGCTTTTTCCATTCATTAATTCATATCTATACTTCATGAGGCTGGTCGATACTCGGTCGATACTCGTGCAAGTATCGTTCTATCCATACAACAGACGCCGTCCTCCCGACACTAGTGTGTGGTGAATGCAAGTCTTAAACAGAGCGGATATGTATGTGCACGTGTGTGTGCATGGACATGTGTGTGTGTCTGTGTGTCTGTGTGTGGAGTAAATACTTGCTGGGTGAGGTTGTTGGATAAATCACATGTGGCTTTGGCTCAGAGACAGCAGCTCCTGACATGGAACAGGAGGGAGACGGAGAATCTGCTTACCCCTGATGAATGGGAGAAAGTTGAACATGAACGCACACAAACACACAAAAGGGACACACACTCACTCTTCCGTGCATTTGGCAGAGCTGGACCGTATTTTGAGTAATCGGAGTGCACCGAGTGTACTCACCGATATATCAGCATGTCGTACGTTACTTTGTGTGTGTGTGTGTGTGTGTCCGTGGCAGTGCATTTGGATTTTGATAGAAAGTTCAAGAGCTTCAGTCTCTTCAGAGCTGTTTAAGTTCCTAAATCTATGACCATTATTTAGTTTTCTTTAGAAAACTACTGGATGTTTTCTGTACTTCGTTATGAGGTTGATGATCTTTATATTAAATGAAAAAATTTTGTGCGGTACAAACTTTGGTTAGGAAACCCAAAAGCATGCTGGAAGTTTGTTGGTTGGACTGGTCGTCACTGTCATCCAAATTGTCAAATATGATAGCTTTTTTTTAACAGATTTTGTATGTAGTTGGTTGTCTGCAGCGACTTCCTGCCCTGGTTCCCTCAGTGACCTTGTTTTCCCCTTGTATCACACTGATCCTAGGTTATCTCCCTGATCTAAAGCTGACAATTCTGACAATAAATGTATTAATTTTAACTGTTTTGTTGCCCTATCCTCAAAAGAAAGGAAAAAAATAAACATTGCTGTGTAGAACTTCATCCAGGGGGCATCAGACGGCATTGACTAGAATGATGAAAATACTTTGTAGTCCTTAAAGGGTTACTTTTTTTTTTGTGGCCATTTTTCAAATTGTATTTTGCATTCAGCACGTGCAAATACTCAAAACATTGTATTTTTATTTTATTTTTTTTAAAACGTACTATTGGAGATACACTGCTTAAAGTCCAGTGATCAGACGTTTTACAGTGTGGTCGGCCTTTACTGGCAGCTTGCAGGTCAGCACAGGTTTTTCCGGTTTCACAGCTAACCATTTTGCGCATGCGTTTTGTGCCAGGGAAAAGGAATGCAAAATCGTATGCAAAATTCCAGTCACTAGGCCCTTTATTTTGAATGTTGTTGAACAGAAAACAGAACCTGTGACTGGGTGCAGTTAGTGTAAAATGTTTTATAAATACTTATCAAAAAACTGACCAAAATACAAATCAGTAAATAACACTTACAGTCAAACCATTGAGACAAATGTGTTTTGTGAATTTGAGCTATACGAATAAAATTGACTTGACTTGAATTACTAAAAAAAAATAGAATTTTATACTTGAGGTATAAAAAGGATATCTGAGTGAAATTTGTTGTTGGACAGAAAAATGTGGTATTGAGTCAAAACCGTTCAACTTGTCCTCATCTGTCCTTGACATATGTCTATATCTAAAATGTCTGTCTGCTTGTCTGTCTGTGTCCTGGCACAGGGGAGTTCTAGTGATTTAAAGCTCCAGGTGGTCCTAGCATGGTCCGACTCAGGTCCTCTCTGTCTTGGCTGTAGCTTCAGAGTCAGTGTGCACAGAAGAAGCTGCAAAGTAGAATAGATCTGTCCGTCCATCTGTCGTACATAAGGCCAAATCTCCCCTTGCTGCTTGTTCTGGTTGAATAAATCAACCACACTCTGATCACCTCCTGCCAGCACATGGCCCCCTCACTCTCAGACTTTCCACTTCTTTTATTCACTTCCCCATCCACATCTCTGTTTCTTCTTGGGATCATTTTTGTATCCTCTTTTCAATTTTCCTCCATCAAATTTCTTTTTTTTTTCCCCCTCCAAGCTTATCTTTTTGGTCATCTTGTCTTTCTCCTCTTCCTCGTCTCCTTTCCTTCCTCCATCTGTTTTTTCCACCACAGCCTTCTCTCTCTGAAGGTCCAGCACAGCAGTTATCTGAGCTCTACAAGTTTTTTTTTTATTATTATTATTTCAACAACACTGTCAGCATACTATGTTGTTGTTCTGTTTTTCTTCCCCTCTCACTCTTTTTCTGTTGCACATTGTGACTTCTATCTATCATCTGGACGTCCAGACATTTCTGCTTTGGTCTGCGTTTGTAAAAGGCTATTCTGTATTTTTACAACCTCATAGAGGTAACCTGGGGGGGATTAAGTAATCAACACTTGCCCCGCAGTCTGATCAAGTACAGCAATCACTGACACTTTTCATTTGGTGAGATGCTGGCAGCAGCAGCTTGTCAAGAGTGATTTCAGTCACTGGAGGGCGCTGTCTTCACTCTGGCCAAAGCCCAATAACAGCAAACCAGACCCCTGATGAGAAGGCTGCAGGGTTTGGTTGAAGTGCTCTATAATTTGAGGTGTTGGGTGAATTCTGTCGTATGACATCACTTATCACAACACTGCACATATCAGTGAGACAAATGAGACCAATTTAAAGTAAATACAGACACAGAATTTCTGAATTTGTCTTTATTCTGATTTTTTTTTTTTACATAATAATAATAGGCGACAGGCAGTAAAAACAGTAGTGCTGATATTTACTTTAGAAGAATACATCATGATTAAAATGCTAAAAACTTGTGAAGGGATCATTTCAGGACAGGATGGTCCATGATGCAGGCTGTGGTTTGCTCTACTGATTTTAAAAGTGATATTTGTTTATTTTTAATGATACTGATTCACCTATTGTCTGACTTGTGTCTTTGTCAGAACTTTCATAAATATAGAATAGGTTACAGGAGTCTGTTTTGTTCATCTACAGGCAGTCGAGAAACGGCGTTCACCTACGCCATCAGCGCAGCAGGCGTGGTAAACGCCGTCAGCCGTGCCTGCAGAGAGGGGGAACTCTCCAGCTGCGGGTGCAGCCGTGCCGCTCGTCCTAAGGATCTGCCCAGGGACTGGCTGTGGGGCGGATGCGGCGACAACCTCATGTACGGGTACAGGTTTTCCAAGGAGTTTGTGGATGCCCGGGAGCGAGAGAAGAGCTACCCCAAGGGCACGTACGACAGCGCCCGACAGTCGATGAATCTCCACAATAACGAAGCTGGACGCAGGGTAAGAGATTACATGCACACATACATTCACAACACATGTACAGAAAAGAAAAAGTCAGAGTAGAAATCGACAGCAAGATGGAGTCTGAAAGTGAGAGAGATCAAATCGAAGAGTAGATCTCCACTGATCATCTGGGTAACAGCTCTGTCCACACCCGAATCTTTGATCTGCGAGGAGCTGAACTCACTGGAGGCAGCTCCGTTGGGATTTCCTTTCCTCTCAAAACATCTTGAAATGACCTCAAAGAGAACGTAACACCCGATATCTGCTGCCAGGCAGTTCTCCTTCTCAGAGGACAATTGACTGGACGTCCTTTTTTTATTCAGCGGCACCAGTACAGACGTGGACCCGATCAGTTGGCCCTCTTTTTTTTCTTTGGCGCACTTCATAAGATCATGATCAGAATATTCTGCAAATATTCATGTAGTCAAAGCAAATTAAATTGCGAAGCATGTGTCACACACACGCTAGAGCAGAGGGTGATGTACTCACATTTTCCAACCAACCATCTGACTGACCAGCAAACAATAACGATGATTATGATTAATGATATTTTCGCGCAAGTGTCCGAGTGCGCAGCGTGTGCACTGACAGCTGTCTGGGAATGGACTTCTGATCTAAAAGAAACAGACGAAAAAGAGTTCCTCATCAAATGAAGCGTGCAACATATGTACAACGCTCAGTTATGTTTTTGCACATGCACAAGAGCTACAGTGAGCAAGCATAGTCATGAGGGACCAGGGGCATCTCTAAAGACTCAATGGCCTCAACAGTCTCCACATCGGAGCAAATCTAAGTCATTTAGTGGCACTGAGCCTAGGGTTTGGGGGGTTGGTTCCAAATTATAGTGCCTTTTGACATCTCCTGCACATGTCCAACCATAAATTCTCAGGGAAGATTGCAGACGCCCCTTCGTTGATAGAGGGGGCCCCAGCGTCCTATCACAACAGCCCTTGGATGGACTGACTAAAAGATTGATATAAATTGCTAGTTCTTATCTGCACAGACATTGAAATGTGGTTAGTCTCAGAATCAGACAGTTAGATTGTCTGGCAATGGAGTAGCATTTGAGGACAGCAGCCAGGACTTTGGGGCTTCCTTTCTTAGACGGCCTAGAGCCGAGCCAAGACTTCCATTTTCCATTTGGAGCCTTGCGAGTAACATGAAACACGGGGATCCAGTTTCAATTTACAGACCATATATATCACTAATTGTTCACGAAAGTCTCATTTTGAACGCTACCCCTTGCCCCTTTGACAGATACCTCGAGAAACTTTGTGAATTAGCTGATGACCACAAAGAGATAGCAGAGATTTGCTTCACATATTGATGTCTGTTAAGCATTTCGAAAGTTGAAGGACAATCTTTGATATGTACCTTTAAAATACAATTCCCCTAGAATTTAAAAATCCAACACATAAATACACATCTTAGGTTCTGGTGGAAATTTACAAAATGATTGAATACAAATTGAATTCTCAGCCTTGACGAGCTCACATGACTGTTCATGTGATCAAGAAAAATGAAATGGCACTAATTTGGCTTTTAGAAAACAGGATCAAAAACTAATTCTAGAATAAAATGTTACTGAGCATAAGTTAAAATTAGAAAAATATTAAAAAAAACAGATTTGAAAAAAAAAAATTCAAAATGGTTCCAAAGCAGATGTTAGATCTTCTTATTTGCCCCAGTTGTATATAAAGCTTAGAATTGACTTGTGAATTTGTCCCATATTAAGTCCAAAGTTTCTGATCTGTCCTTACTTTTAAATGTTCTCAGACTGTCTCAGACCTGGCAAATGTGTCCTGTAAGTGCCACGGTGTGTCCGGCTCCTGCAGCCTAAAAACCTGCTGGCTACAGCTGGCCGATTTCCGTAAGGTTGGCGACGCCTTGAAGGAAAAGTACGACAGCGCCGCTGCCATGAAGCTAAACGCCAAGGGGAAACTTGTGCAGATGCACAGCAAGTTCAACGCCCCCACCAACCACGACCTGATCTACATCGAGTCCAGTCCAGACTACTGCCTAAAGAACCAGAGCACGGGCTCCCTGGGCACGGTGGGTCGCCTGTGCAACAAGACATCAGAGGGCATGGATGGGTGCGAGCTGATGTGCTGCGGCCGTGGTTACGATCAGTACAAGGCCCAGATAGTGGAGCGCTGCCACTGCAAGTTCCACTGGTGCTGTTACGTCAAGTGCAAGCGCTGCACCAAAATCGTAGACCAGTTTGTCTGCAAGTGAGAAGGAAGGCAGCGACGGCCAGTGTTTGTTTGCAGACGATGTCTTACATCTGCGCACGTGTGTTCGTGATCGGAGCAACAGCGGCGTCACACACAAGTGAAAGAATGGAAGAAAAAAAAACTATATAAATTATATTTATAGAGTAAAACAATTATGTCGTCCGAAAAGACTGACTTTTTTTCAAGGAAAAAAAAAAAAAAGGAAAAATCTAATGTCTTTAGAAACTGAGAGTATCGTGAAATATTTATTTTGAGATTCCTATATTTTGGCCCAGTCATCACCAGCTGATTCTCAATTCCTTCAAGTGATTCAAATTGATGGAGATGCTCCCCCTGACCGACCTGCAGCATTTTTGAAAATTTCAAAACACTTTTTTTTTTCTTTCTTTTTTTTTTTGTCACACGGATCAATTTCTTTTGGACCATGGCTCCAATGTTCTAGGCGAGAAGTGTTCCACCCGGAAAAAAAAACAGAGATTCTGTTGGACGCAGTTTGGAGAGGAGAACATGGAACTATGGACGTACCTATCTAATGGGACCAATCAAAAACTCAGAAGTCCCCCGCACCCTAGTCTCTTTGTCCCCTCCGGCTTCTGAACGATCTAGTTGTTGGAGTCCAGTGGCTACAATCAAGCGTTTGCTTTTTAAGGGCCTTTGTTTTTATTAAGCTTTCCCACGAGCCTAAAGCCTGATTTACAGCCGATCATAAAACACTTCTGATAGTGTAGCATATTTTATACCGACGTGTCTCTCGAGGGCAACATGAGACCTTTAAGTTGCTGATGTGTAAAAGTTTCCTGGTTGTGTTTTTAATCCACAGTACAGTATGTGAAAGCTTTTTTTTTTCTTTTTTCTTGACTATCAGACCAGTACGTTCTCTTTTTGATGCTCGATTTCACTGTCATTGTGCAATATCCACGCGTCCAACTTGCAGTTATTCACCCAGTAAGACATTTCCATGATAGAAAATTGCAAAAATTGACTTCCAATATCCAAAAAGCCCACTCTTTCTTTAATTATTATACACCTCCAAGAAACTTTTTTATGAGTTTGGTTCATTAGTGTGACCAAGGTTTCAAAAATCGATATTGAGAAGTTCTTAGATACACATTTTTTAATGCGTTTTTTTTTTTTTTTTTGTTCCTTGTTAAAAGTGAAGAGGAGCTCAGTTGTTAGTTGAAGACGATATTATTTTATTTGTGTATATATTCAAACGTTTGCCTGACAAGTTGTCTTGTTTTTTCATTCGTGTGAAAAAACTGGTTGTAAATCAGGCTTTAGCGCCTCCCCCAGGTGCTGCATCAAGCCCTCCACCATTGTGCACTTTTAATACAGAGTCTGTATGTGTCCGTTTGGCTGTATTTTTTTTTTTTTTGTTTTTTTTTTTTTTTTTGTTTTTTTACTCCAGTGCATCAGCAAAAATATATCTGTAATATTATAGCTTACATTCTTTTCCATATTAATTCAGATTATCCATTTAACATAACATTATTCTACAATACGTATCATGGTTTGAGTATATATGGGCAACAATGTGGTTACAGTGGTGAAATATTCAGTGCTCTGTGTGTATATAGTATGTCTATCCATCCAATCAGTAAAAATTGTATTTATTTTTTCAGACCAGATTTCCGAAAAAAAAAAAAAGCAAGATCAGTACATATAGAAAGTTCCAGTTGTTATAGAAGAAAACAACAACCTTCTTGAACCACATGCTAGCTTGTTTAGCTAGCTGGCGAAATGTTCCCTAAATACATCAAATATAAGAATATTAGAATATGACACTTTAATGTGTAAAGAATCACGTTCTATCACGTTTTTTTTTTCTTCTTCGAGGAAACAAACCCATCTTTTTATTTCTAGAGTTAGCGTCTTCCTGTTGGTGCCAAAATCATTTGTTCTGTTTGGGTGGTCAGAATAGACAGACAAGACGTGACAAAGAGCAGCAGGTTGTTGGTTTGAAAGACATTGCATGTGAAAGGAAAGGTATAAACAGACAATAACATAATCAGTGGTTCAAGATGTGCTTTAAAAAGTAAAAAAACAAGACCTGAAATGACTGGGGGTTGGGGGGCGTCTCCCAAACATTTCTGTCATGTTGCGTACAAAATAACACAGCTTTTACACACACGATTTGCGCTGTCATTGGTTAATGCAATTGGCGTATCGGAGGAGATTATGTTAATTTTTTCTTGTCAGTCAGAGATTTTTTATAAGCTTTTAAAATGTTTCTATTTCTTTTTTTGGTGTTTTTTTTTTCTATCTTTACACTATGAACAAAAGGTACATTCACATCCACGCATGACAATTGTTAAACAAAATAATTAAGATTTTGAAATCAGGATCCACAAAAACAACTGGGACCAACTACTGTATATGCTGATCTTGTTTTCAGAGTCACTCCCCACCCTCTCTCCTTTTCTTTTTTTTTTTTCAAAGAAAATTATTCCCACTGTTTTGGCTCTTGGATTCTTTCAAAGGGAAAAGCACCTTATTGTTTCCAGAAACACATTTTATTTTTGTTTTTCTTTTGTCACTGCTTCACTGTTTCCCACACATCACAGATTTCTATCATTACCACGAAAACTTTCGAAACCACTCATTTCACTGCTCACTATCCCTGTGATGATTTTTTACTTCAGTAGACGAAACACTTTCTACCAAATCCAACTTTGTATATTTATAAGCTTCTCAGTGAGTTTAAGGTTTGTTATAGCTGATATTTTGTTACTTTTACGAATTGGCTCAATGTTGTACTTTGTTTCAATAAATATCAAACATAAGACCAGCTGTGATGTAGTAATTAACAGTAGTTGTCTTTTTTTTTTGTACATTTTTAGTTTTAGAGGATCATTTGATGTCATTAAGCTAAAATTTTGTGATCTGTCTTAAAAATGTATGTGATTTGTATGTGACCTGCGAAAGCTAATCAGAATGAAGTGCCAGACAAGTAGAAGGTCGTCAAACTTCTGCAAGAAACTCAAGCAAGACCTGTTGCCGGCGGCTAAATGGAGTTTAAATCGCCAAGAGAGAAAAATGTCAAATTAGGTCCTCAGGAAAACCAGGTACTGTTTTTAACAGTCTAGCTTTGGATTCATTTTGATTAATCGTGATTAATCAAGTTAAATCATTCCTAAATATGAAAAAAACGTTTATGACTAATGATGGGATTATGAATGTGGAAATTTGTGAAGAAAAGTATGCAGACATTATGCACAGAATAACGTGTTAATTACAACAGCCCTAATTGAAACAAAATGTTTCTGTCAGTCTATTCTCTGATTCTCTAATCATCTTCTTCTCTGCAGTCTGTGGTCCTTTAACCTGGAGCTGGAGATGAAACCTAATTCAATACAGCTTTAAATCCAATAACACACTTCATTCAGTTTATTAGCTTTCTGAACCGAGGGCAGATTTAGTGACGGTGGAAGTCTCACTGGGTGACAGCTGTGTTAGCTGGAGAGTGAACAAAGACTTTGGGAGATGTTTCTAAAGTTTTCCTCTCCTTCATGGGTGAAGGTGGGGGCTCCATTGGAAGAACCCCTTAACTATGCAGCGGTGGTGGAAAGGTTAATAGAATGATTAATCATCGAGTTCAGGACTGTAGGAGGAGGGGGATTTTACATCCTGAGGACAGGCAGTGCCTTCTGGGAGGACGAGGAGGAGGAGGAGGAGGAGGAGGACTGGGCCTTGTCAAAGACTGCTGAGGCCGAAGAGGAGCTGCAGAGAAGGAGCTGAGGAGAAATGGTGAGTAATGAGGAGGGGAACGTTCAGGGGAAAAATGTGCTTGATGGCGAAGCGGAGCTGAAGGACCTCCATTACAACAAAAACGCTCCTGACATTGACTAATATTTACTCTGGTAAAACGATACTGACTCTAGGAGCACACCCCATATGTGACCCTGTCAATTGGCTCCATATGTGAGCCCACTTGCGTATGCACCAGCTCGCACTAAACCTGTTACATCATGACAAGGGTTTACATTCCTGATTGGCGTCTAGAGAACGCCAACGTGCAAAAAAGAGGAGAGAAAGATTGTTGGAGGCAGAGATGTGGACACGACTTTGACTGGAATCAGACTCAAGTCATAAATTTAACAAAATTCCAGCATAATTTCTCAACATCTAACCAAAAATGATATGCTTAATTAGGATTTTGCCAGAAATCCTAAATAAATAAATACATAAAAAAACAGCCAACAATGACACTTTTGGTGACATTTTGACATATTCAGATATGATGGTTTTTAGAATTTTTAGCATAAGTATTTTACGTAGGAGTATGTTTTAGTGCATCATTTTGCATGTTAGGGTATCACAAATTTTTTTGTGTGCATTTTTTCATGATAGTATGGCTATTGTCAGGTCTGTCTGTTTCCTTTTCCTGCTGTCTGCTGTGTGGGGTAATCTGTGTGATGACACTCACCTGTGTCTGTAATCAGCCTCACCTGGTGCTCCCTGAGTACACCTCTCTCCTTCACTCGGCCTGGGGGATCATTGTGATTGATTCAGTGTGGAAGTAAGTGACTGTGTTGTGTATTGCATCAGGTTAATGGTGTAGCTGTTTCTATGCTCTGTCAAGTTCCTAGTTTGTCCTGTTCTTGTGTAAAAGTGAGTTTTTGTGTTTTTTGCTCTTTGAAATAAACTACCTGCACCAGAACTGCATTTGGGTCCTGCCTGCTTCCTGCCGTATCGATGCCCACACGTGACAGCTATAGTAAGACATGTTTTTGGTGAT